TTCTTGAACATCGAAAAGGAACCTAAATTTCGTACCAATCGCTCCTCCTAGAGCTTTGTTTTCCAGCTGGTTCATATAAAGATTTTTCAAAAGGGATCAAAGATGCAAGAAGAACTTAAAAAAAAGCATAAAGCATAATAATGTAGAGCAAAGTACAATATAATAATACAATATAATAGTACAATATAATATAATACAAATTCAGCCCCGCACAACGGTCCATGTTGAAAGCGTACACGGAGAAGGAGGACGATCAGTCAAAGGCAGAGATCAGAGTCAAAATTATGTGGTAGTATTATTAGAATATGGAGGCAGAGATCACATGCGCCGACGGTCTCCACAAAATGTGAATGTTTTTTTCCAGTGAAGTAATTAGCATGTTGCAGTCGTGTTGTCGGTTGTCCCTTTTTACAAGAAAGACCTCCCTTCAAAGGCACAAAAGCGAAAACTTAGCGGAAGACGGCTAAACGCTTAGGCCGCGTTCATAGTTCGCGACTCGGGAGATTAGGATAGTAGGCGACAGGATATTAGGATAGTAGTAGAGTAGGAGATTGCGCTGACAAGATTGGATACGTATCGATTGAAATCGCTGAGAGATTGGGCGACTTCAAGCGAATAGATCAATACATATCTAATCTTGTCAGCGCACTATCCTAATCTACTACTATCCTAATCTCCTACTCTACTACTATCCTACTATCGTAATATCGCAATCTACTACTCTCCGGCGATTTCAATCGATACGTATCTAATCTTGTCAGCGCAATCTCCTACTCTACTACTATCCTACTATCCTAATCTCCCCGTCAATACATATGTTTTTCATTGTCGCGTACTATCCTAATCTCCGGAGTCGCGAACTATGAACGCGGCCTTAGAGAGGGTGATAACAAACTCCAGCGACAGTATCCCGGAGTTGATGATGCCACGCCAGACCAGCATCGCATGTCCTCGTATTCGTGTTGAATTTCGGCGAAGGATTATTATCAAGGTGTCCCACGGGGAATATGATGGTATCACATGAGATAAAGGTACTGCGAAATCCGATTCATATTCGTTAACACATGAGTTTACATGAATTTGAGGCAATTCCAACACTACTCATGTCACTCTCTGCTTATTACTATCTTTCTTTCCATGAAAAAATGTGAATTTCGCTCTGATTCAAGGCCTCGAAATTGACAGCCGGTGCTAGGTAGGAACTTCAAAAACTTTTCGTCAATGGGGTGAGCTCTGTAGAAAAGGAACGTTAAGTGACAAGGCTCAGATCCTATTAGGTCGGTCCATAATTTTTGAGAACCTTTGGTGTTTTTCGATTTAATTACTTATCTTATTTCTCTGATGTACTTATTCAGCATAGTATACATCACCATTATTACCAACATATCACCAATGCGAGGGTGGGTATTCAGTGTCTCTCTTGTAGAATTTCATAGAGTTCTGATCGAAAAAATTGGATGTCGATTTTGACTTTATGGTGATTCAAGTGAGATTTCTTCTCCAGAAGGTGATTGAGAGAGGAGAGCGGATAGTCGTTCGTTGACGCAGGATTAGTGCTACAAGGCGGAGCTAAAAGAACTGACCGCCCGAGAGTCTCCAATTTTTTAGGAATTTTCTTAGCAAGGCGGGCTCGAACGACCTCAGAAAAAATAGATTTTGTCTTCTTTGCTTTCAAGTTGAAGGCGTTGCCATCAAGCTGTCAACGATTCTTCCCATCACTGACACTGGTATTAGTTGATGCCGGTTCTTCAGCGCAAAGGCCTTCCGTATTGCCCGTCAACGATTAGAATTCAGGAGTTAGGCTTTTGCTGACAGAAATCCCGAATCGTTTAAACTAAGCTACTGCGGCTTGTGGATTTGTTAGCACACTACACCCAGTCCACATCACACCGATGAGTAGGAATGGATGGTCATTCGAAGGAACTATGAAACCAAGAGGAAATGATGATGTCAGACCGGGTTCAAAGATGATTCGGGATTCAGATTCTTCAGTAAGAGGACACTGAATACCCACCCTCGCATTGGTTATATGTTGGTAATAATGGTGATGTATACTATGCTGAATAAATACATCAGAGAAATAAGATAAGTAATTAAATCGAAAAACACCAAAGGTTCTCAAAAATTATGGACCGACCTAATTCTAGTTCTTACTATACTTTGGCTCAAAGGAGCTTTTCCATGTAAAAATGACATTCAACAAAGCTGACCCACCTGGGATGAATTCGGTATCAAAATGACGAGCACCATCTGAAGAACACAACAGTCTCTTTTTCACTTTACATAGGAGTAATATAATAACTTTATTACTCGCTAAATACACTATTAACTCCATTGCGGACTCGGTTATAATTGCACCTCCGTAGGATTTTGTCATCTCTTTAATCATTAGCCGATGACCATCAAAAATTTAACCAGTATGCCAATAAGTGGTGTGTACTGTGTCGAAATAAGTAAACTGATGAGTTTGTAACACAAACCAATTTAAAAAAATCGAAGTCTATTGTGCTCTCCGCGTGTGGCGTCTCACCCAGTCGCAACACCGCGTCGCAATTGGGTTAATATCTGTTCCCTCTTCACTAATTAAGCATGCCTCGCTAATGAGTCAGCCTCAGGTAATTTGATAAATTTCATGAAAATAAAGCGGAAAATTCAGAGGAACTCAATAGTCCTCTAAACCGTTGGATTCTTCGTGAGCAGAGCTATCCAGTGGTATAACTTTCGAATGACCTAATCCATTTGTTCACGAGTTATGGCGAGGCGACGGTTGCGACGGACTGACTGCGTCGCATTTCGTCGATTGAAATTAGCAATGCGGGTATTGAAGTAGTATCGCGGCCTTATTATCCCCTTTATTATTCCACTCTCCTATTATATACGTGCCAACGGTGGACTATCTGCTTACCCATTCGAGACGTCTTTATACGATCTGGGGTCCTTGCAATAGTTTAGTAACTCGTCTCAGGCACTGCCTTGTCTTTGACCTAGCGCTACCTCTGATTTGGGAGTCTTCGCTGCACTCTGCTTGTGATGCCGCATTTAACCAAGCCGGCTACCGAGACCGCTACCACAAGACTCTCAGAAAACGCACAGTAGTTGATCAGGGTCAGCACGTCTCCAGCGAAAAGCATCACAATCGATGCGACTGAATTAAAGAGATCAAAAACGCGTGAATCCACGTAAGCAATATTGAAAGAAAACCTCCAAGAAAGAGCAGCGACGGTAGAGGTGTCAGGTAGTCGATGGAAATCATCGACAGCATCTCCGGCAATTGTCCTTCTCTGGAAAAAAGGTGATAAATAAAATCTACAACGAATGGCTTTCGAAGATAGTGGCCGGTAGCTCAATTCCTCTTGACAGTGTCGCAGTATGTAAACAAATGAATAAATGAATTATATAAACACATGAACTCCAACAATCCTAGTTCCAAGTTTAGCGGCTGTAATGAATGGACCAAAAACAGGCGCTAATCGCATAAGATAGGCACTGCAATTGGTCAATGCATTTTGCGATCGCGTAATACTATACCTTTTTTGTTTGAAATCAGACCTAAAACTTTGCCCGCGTAGAGAAAACCACTTCAGGGTCAGTACCTTTTTATATTTCCATGGACCCTTGCCCAACTTTCTATGGCTTAGTGCTCACAGATTTCCAGCAGTAATCTTGCGATGGCGCCAAAATCGAAGTTTAATACAATTTTTGCTCACCAAAGGTAACAATCTGAAGGCGAAACATACATGCAAGTTTCGATGGCAGCTCTAACGGTCATGAGCCTAGAGCCACCAACCTCGCTCCAGCAAAAAACATCCGCGAAGAAGTGAACAAAATGCCGTTCAGACTTCCAAAGCATGAGCAGGCGACAAAGAACGGCATCACAGGAGCGAATGGTCCCATCACTTTCTTAGCAAACGTCACAGCAACCCATCGCATCGGACTCTAGGATCTAAACAGTTTCGATGTGCCACAGCTATCATGTGGGGCCAAAATGTATTGTATTCCATTCATCAGCCGAAATTTTTTGAAACTTTCTGAATCGGAGGATGAGAGCTAAACGCAGATAACGCGGGGCAAACCCCTGGATTAACAACCAGGAGAGTTGGGCAAGAAAATGAGGAAACAAGAAAGTCTCACGTAATCTGAAATTCCTTCTCCACGCTAGGGCTGAGCCCTATTTTTAAAAACAATATTTCTTATGCGGTCGAATGGCTATGTGCCCCGTACTTGCGACAGCGTCAGATGTTAAAATAATTCCTAATGTGAGCAATACGTTAACGCTCATCACTGAAAGCAAAGCGAAATATGCAAATGTGAACGTTACCTTATCAACAGAAAGCACAGCGAAATATGCCATGTTCACGAGCATGTATATCAATGTCACCACCGGCAGCGAAATGTAGATTGCTCGCGGTAGATTTCTGAATTTCAGCAATTTGAAGAACCGTCAGCAGATCGAAAAAAGCCAAAAGGGGCAAATCTGACCTGTAGGGATCTTTAAGTTCCTCTGTGACAAAGTTCAAATAGCTATAACCGGCGAAGGAAAAAACTCCCGAGTAGAACGCCAAGGTTAGGGACGAAACTTTAGTTTGACTTCCAGTGAGTACGTCCGGCATTTCAAAATATTCAGTGTTTCCTGGAAAATAATTGTAATGTCGAGAACAAGAGTCGGTTAGATCCTAAAATTGCATTTTTTAGAATTCCAGGTAATAAATACCACATGATATACATTAGGGCGATTTTCCTCCTGCTTCACACTAGCAAACCTACTATCGTCAATATACTCCACTTCAAGGGAAGGTAGTGTAGTGGCAAGTGGCGCCGCTATCAGCGCACGCCACCGCGGACTAAATGCCGGACTGAATACCGTTCACGACAACCGAGCCTTCCATCCTTCCGAAGCCAGTAGTTGATATCAGACTTTTTTGGGTGAGAGGGAAAAAGCATTGCTTCGTACATCGTGTGGAAGCCAAGTCATTGGCCTTACAGCCAGGGTCAACCCCTTTCGCGCAATTCGAACGGGGGTAGCATTTGTGATTTTGGGAGGGGCGAGGGCCGCAATTTGGGGTGGAACAACAATTATCTCTGAGAAAGTCGTGAACGGGGGTCGTTAAAGGGGGTTATTTTTGATGCGCTTGCCGATGGTTCGACTGGTTTCGGAATCAGATACTGTAGGACAGTCATGATGGTGTGGGTGGCGATCGGGGTAAGGAGCAGGGAAGGATGGTTGTCGTATTGGAGAAGCTTCCTAAGCAGGGTCAACCGTCACGTTCCAACCAGGTGTCCAGCTTGTTCTTAGCGCTCAGCGTAAGAGCGTCACACTACGACCCCCCGCAGGGTCAACCCTACGTTGTTACGAGTAACAACGGGGGGGTCGTACCTGGTTGAGTTTGTAGGAGGGGGGGTCGTACCCACTTTAGTCGCTCGAAATCACGTGTGGGATTGAGGAGAACTAGATTTCGTGGGTAGTAGGCTGGGCGAGTGAGGGCGCGCAGGATAAAAATTTGCCGTTTCAGCCCCCCCCCCCGCTCGACGGCATTTTTGGAGGAAAAAGTGGGCGGGGTTTTGATGGAAGATGGAGATGGTGGAGGTAGGGAAAAGGGGGTCGTATCAAATCCACGTTGGGGGAGGGGGGTCGTAAAAATTTTTCGAAAAGTAACAACGATAGGACAGACCCTGCCCCGCTGGTGTGGGATTGACGCCCTCCAAATCCTCAAGACTATGAAAACGGGCCTCTTCTCGGTCGGCCGGAAATATGGACTTTGTCACACGGTCGTTAAACCCTGCTGCTTTAAGATGGGTGTCGATGGTGGTTATCGCGTATGTGCATATCGTGCCTAATGAAGGTACGGGGCTACCTAACATCAACGGTCCCCGATTTTTCCCGGCAATTCTCATTGTGGAACTTGGCCTTCCACAGTCCAGAACCGAAAGGAAGAAAAAAGCTACATTTTCACATGGCTTACCTAATGCGAGCCACGCCACTCCGGCTACGATTATACAGACCAAGGCGGCCACTTTTGTAATGGTAAAAGTGTCGTTGAATCGAGTCGCAACTCGCACATTGTAGCAGTTGACGAATGTGAGAAGTGCTGAAATACGGGAGTTTACAAAATTCAAACAAACAGGTGAAACAACCCATCATTATGAAATGATTGAAATTTCTTCGAAAATGAGGCAAATGTAGTAAAGTTTCCAAGCTTGTCAAGTAACCATCAATATTACAGCTTGTGAAGACACAACGTTACTAGTAATCTCCCCACCGGAAAATTTCCCTGGTAGTTGGGTCCACTTGAAGCTACAAAATTAGAAAAAGGGAAAAATCCGTCCCCAAAGGATTTTGGCCTGCATCTTCGAGGTGCTTCATGACTTAGCGAATGAGTTTTCACCGTTGTTCTGCCTCCTCTGCGAATAGCGGACCAATCTGCTAACTACTGCTCTTACAGAATAATGCTTTGAAAAATTTTGAATTGTTTTGTTTGTTAACTGCTGTTTTTGGCCGCAGTTCGCCTTGCGAATGTTTCACAAGAATGCTGGGTTGTGAACAAAAACTTTCGCCCCAGGCGGGACTAGAACCCGCACCTCTCGCTTTCCGGGCAAGTGCGCTACCAGTTACGCTACCGGGGCACCATTTCATCCCAACTCAGCTTTTCATGGTACGCTTATTAAAAAAGATCGTTCGCTAAACTTTGCCATTTCCAAGGCGCCCATTCATGCTCGACGCTGCCCTTGCCGACGTTCACTAATGAACTTACTCTTCGAATGCTTGCTCTCTCCGATTTTCGCTTCCTTCGCTCACTGCTCACGAAACCTTGGCCTATGTTTGCCGCTGACGTGCGAGGAGCGCGTGGCCATTAGTTCGCGAAGAAATCTAACGCTCACGTGGTGGAATATGCGATGACAACTACGACAACTGGTGGCTTTGTTCATAATGCATTGAATTTTGTGCTTCGCTTTGGTAATTGAAAAAGAGCGCTTTGCAAGTCTAGTTTAAATTAGTTCGACTCCGACTCCTCAAGGTCTTACCAATCAAGCGCAGATGAGTGGCCCCAACGTTGCACCAAATCAACTGATTCAGGGGCGCCATTGCACAAACATCGTCAGAAAAACCGACGCCAGCTGAAGGCTCAAATGCACGACCCAAGCGAGCAAACTGGTACGGTTTTTTTTTACCTTTAAAATGAAAGCAGAGATGCAAAATGCACAGAAAAAAAAAAGAGGAAATCACGAAAAACTCTTATAGGCTCTTTCCTCGGGCTCATACACGGGGGAGGGGCGGCAAAAAAAGAATCACTTTCCACTCCACATTCAACCACAGGAGTAATTTACACTCTCGCCAAGAACGAAAGCGAATGAGCTCAATTCGAGCAATAGCTGCAAGAGGCACATTCTAGTTCTACAATGAGCATCAACATAGGGCTTGCTACAAGCGACAGGGGGGGACATGCAAGAAGAATTTCCCCCCGGAAGACATTGTCGCGGACGAGCTCAACGAGCTCGTCGAGAACCATCGAGACGATTTAGGTCCTCTTGGAAAGGTGGTCACACAACGCCAAATGTCCTTGAGCAGCGCATTTCTCCAGTTATTTCGATTGAAGAAAATTATGTAGCAGCTTCAGAATGGAGCGATTATGGTAGGCCTCCTTGAGCTCGACGTGATGACAGATGACGTCATATTCTGGAGACGGTGAAAGCAGCGAAGATGGGCCTGATTCTGCTTATGGGGGACATCTAAGGAATAATTCGCCGTATAACTCCCAATAACAGCGGCATCCTTTGCGACGAAAAGTTCGATATGATACATGCACCATGAGCAAAGTGACTCTTTTTTTTGCCCCCCCCCCCTCCTGTATGTCCAGGCTGTGGAGGTTTCAGGAAGAAGGCAGTCGAGATAGATATTACTCGAACGCCGCGAAGAGGAATAGGAATTGGCGAGCAGCATGGACACGAGCAAGAGTGGATTTGACGCATGACGTCGGCACGTTTGCGGAACTAGTACTAGAAAATAAATAAACAAAAATATAGGACACCGGGGGCGGGTAGCATCTCGAGGGCAATTTAATTCCGCAATGGCTTGCATGGAAATTTCCCACTTCGAGATCGGTACGACCTACTGATCTCTCCCCTTTTCCCGCACTAGGACCTCAACGGGCCCGCAGCTCCTGGGTAAGACCCTTTGGAAATTTTAGCCGCTGGCCATCCTACGACCAATAGTGAATGTGCTGGTCAAACCCGACGATTCCGAACGCGCGTAATATAGACAATCATGTAGTGATTTGCTGGTAGCTCGAACTTGAGCCGGCCAGCACTCACAAATAGCATTGTCAACGCTCTGAATCACTACAGCAGTTGCTGGGACAGAAAACCAATACGAGTACGAAATGAGAGTTCAACCACAAGGAAGAGAATTGCAGCAACGAGCCTCTTCGATCCAATATAGTTCATTCACCGAAGGTACTAATAATCATTTTTTTATCACTTGCTACGATATTAAGACTATGGCATGGTTGTTATAAGGAAATGAAGTTATCAAACCCAATTAGAGGTTTTTTCATGTCTGCCATTTGACAGCGCGCCTTATTACTCCACGGTCCCAAATGAATTACGAGAGCTGACGATCTGTGTACTTCGTAGGTTTGTTTGTTGCTGAAACTAAAAACCGGATCAGATCGTCAGCAACCCCGCTTGAATCAACACCCTGATATTTGACCAAAGGCGCAAAAGATAAGGAAATTAATCGGCTTCCAATATCCTCAGCTTAAAGTTGAAGAGGTGGCAACTAAAAGGAATAGTTCACGGAAAATTCGACTTCCTTCCCAACATGAATACGCAGTTGTGATCACTAAGACAACGTACAAAGTTTCACGCAAGATTCAGTTTCCGAAGAGAAACAAACCTTTGAAAAGTGCACTCTGAGGACGGTCGTGGGTAGCTCGGGCGGAGATAAGGGAACGCATGGAAAGAAATGCGCGTTTGGGCGGTCAAGCGACGCATATAAGGAATCTAATAAAAGTGGTCGATTTTGAAGAATGGGAACAAAACGGCAGAAAGAAAAGGATCTCGTAGAAGCGTGAGATTTTGCTGCAATTAATCGAAAGGTCAAAAAAGTTCCAGTTCAAGTCAGAAAGCTTCTTTCTAATAGTCTGGTGGGAGATTGTGCCAAGAGTGGTCTGATCTATCAGTTTCACCGTGAATTGTATGCAAATTTATAATTGCTGGGTAATTTTTATTGTGGAACTATTCAGCTCACCTATAGTGCAAGCTGCGAGTAGATCGACAGCCATTGGAGGCACAGTACAGTTGGGAAAGAACGGCTTGAGCGCGTAATTGGCAAAAGTAAGAGCTATGATGGCGTTCGACGTCGGATTTATAATAATAAGTGCCATCCAGAGGAATAGGAATGCAGGCATTGGGCCAAAAGCCTGAAAAAGAATTATGTAGCTCGTTATCCCTTCACAGCCAGTTCCAACGAGTAACAGGTAAAATTACTACAACTTGAGTGAATTAATAATTCTTGAATATATTAGTACATAAAGACACATTTGTAGTGAACTGATACCATACAAATGCAAAGGATAAGAAGGAACCCAAGGTGTAGGAGGAAACCAAGCGATTACGGCATGCCTTGCCGCGGGAAACCGCATATGCATCGTCCAATAATCTAATGCTCCTCTTTGCTACTCTTATGCGAATACATTTTTACTCTTCCTCGACCACTCTGTCATGTGACCCGCATCTTTACAACCATGTCTTTGCTTACACAGCTATGTTCCATCGTAACGCCCTCTATTATCAAGTTTTAAATTTGTACACGATGAATTTCAGTTAAGCGAGTGCCGTCATCGACCGGTCTCCCCAAAATGCGTTCCTCTTGTTTCCAGTTGCTTAAAGTTGCATTCGATGAAGAGGTAATTGTTTATTAGCTGCTGATCTGGGGTAAAAGGAAGCTCCCTCTCTCAACTTTACAGGTTCGCGGTGACGAGGTTGAAGCGTTCACAAAGGCGCTGTCAAGTCTTCGTTGGCCAAATGTTTTACCTCATTCTTTGTTCGCATACAATACTGTTAGTCATCTCCTCACGTCAACCCTACCAGCTGGATCGAAGAATAAGTACAGTACCATACGAGAGCTCAAGAAGACTATTGCGAGGTTTCCCGGCAAGAGTCAGTTTTGCTCCCAACATTCTATGTATGAACGCGTAATGGTTTTGATGCGGATGTTGGAATTTCAATCCAAGGATTTTTCCAGGCTCCACAAGTCGCCGGCGATTAGATTCTGTCGGTAAATGGCCACCATCGCCGTTGCTAAATCCGTCACTGAAGGCGTCTACCCAGCCTGCGAAGAATGACACTTTTGGCCCACCTACGACTATTTTTGGATCTGTCAGGTAAGTATGGTTTGACAGTTTCTGTTGATAAGTGAGAGGCAGCTGCGCTTCTCACCTTTGTCGTCCCTTTTTTCGACGCGTGCGCGGCTTCTTCCCAAGTTATTTGGTTTGTTATGCAGATCTAACCTAACTATTAACGTCGTGGTCCATCAAATCAACCGTCCCGCAGGATTTTTAACCATTCGCTTTAATTGTTTGGACAGCGATGCGTTAACTCCTGTCAAACACATAAGAAGGCTGTGATTGACAAAATCTCACCAGGGCTGCCGCAAAATGGAGCTGAACGGCTTTGAAGTGGCGTGTTAGCGAATCGGCCGAGGGCATTGCATGAATAAGAAGACCTGGTGGGACCGTTGCTTTAAAGGCAAGATTCAGGCTCAAATGGGTGAAGTAATTCTACTCAAATGTGACGTAGGGGTGGGAGGTGGACCGCCAGTGGAGAAAAAAGGAAAAAAATCGTGAAATACACAGGAAATACGAGCCTTTTGCTCTACGTTGCGGAGAAGTTCAAAAGGCCGGCAGGGAGATGAGAGATAATGTGAGCGCGGAGAGCGGTAGAGAAATCCGAGAAGAGAGAGCATAGCAGATCAGCATTGCGACGCAGACAAAATATCGAGCGGTGGGCGGAGCGTGTCGCAACAGGTGGAGCGTGTCAAAGTCCTTGGCCCCTAGCGCCTTAGTGACGCATTTGGATGCGGGAACTTGGCGAGTCGCCTGCAGTTGCGTCCCATGCACTTCTAGCCACTTTAAGGGCTTATTAGGTGGGTCTGAGCCCGAACTTTGCCTTTAAGTAATATAGTGACGTTCAAGAT